TGATCAATTAGACTTAATTATAAAAAGTAGTAGTATTTAAATTATTTCAAAACATAAAATGTCTGTACAAAGAAATATTTAGTATTTTTTAAGAAAACAATATTGTACAGGACGACAGAGTATTTTTGTATCATTACGAGCTTGTAAATAAAATATTACAAATATGAACAACAGAAGTTTATGAGTATTAAATAAATGCTCTTTTCCTCTGTCTTTGAAGTAAGTAATAGCAAATTTGCAACAAACATCAAAGTAGCATCTCATTTTGCTTTCATGTTGATTTTGGCACATATTGAGAATGCTTTAGCTTTGACATTTACTTAACAAAATGTGATGACTTTACAACAGGTTTTGTTTTAAATTTGATTCATATTTAAAATAATTGAAAAAAAAAACAAATGATAGCTATGTGTAAAAGATGTGACTTAAAGAATTCCCCATGGTTTGAAATTTGAATATGTCTTTTATCAAATAAAGCAAAAATAAATTAATAACAATTGTCTGAATGATGCCGTATTTATCTTTTAAATATCAAATAAGGGTATACTTTTGAGAATGTGAGGATGTGTTGCTTCTATATATACATGAACTACAACTGCTTTTGAAAATTGTCCATTATTACTGCTACAGTGTCATAACTAATTAGTAGGTAAATTGTTTTCTTCTATTGGATTTGAACTTGGATTTAATTTTAAAAGTTGTAATTCAACTTATACTCATAGAACCATTTCTTAGGAGAAAAGTCTTCAAAATCATATGTCAGGTTTGGATATTTTTAATATTCCAAGCAACCAAATTGAATTTAAATATGACCGTAACTATATTGATTTCCGAAACTTTTGAATTTGTTTACAAAAATTATACATAGCAGGTTGAGGTAAATGTTCTACCAAGTCTCTTTCTTTACACCTCTCTAAGATGATTAACATTAGTGAAGGACAAACTTCAAGAGTATTGTTCAACATTATTTTCGATCCCCGCGAGAAGTGGTGTAAACCAGATGTGGATACGAAATAAAAAATTCCAAGGAACTTTTAGAACATTTGAAATCACAAAATTTTAACAAAATCAATAACATTAAAAGGTACCACTTATCAACTTTAAATACAACTATTTCCCACGACAAATAAAGGTCCAGGCTTCCAACATCATTGATAGCTGTTTTATAAATAAAAATTAAACTCGTACCCATTTTAAACAAGAAGCCAATTGGCCACATCGCTCATCTGAGCACATGGGCTAGTTAAAAACACAAATCAGCTCAGTATTGAAAAACTAACTTGTCGGGGAGAGGGAATTCGATTTTTTATTACTTGAGAATGTCATTATATCAATTAAATATACACTTTACAAAACTTCTAAGTGTTCACTTTAATAAATGTATTTCTTTAAAAACTACCTCATAGAATGGTATGATGTTTTCACACTATTACAACAAATGAGTCTTCTCAACAATTGCAGAACGAAATTAAAATTCAATATCACCGATGAAAACCAATGTTCCGTGACGGAGAGCCGTTGGAATATTAATATCTGGACCATCTGTTCACCGCGTTTTACTCGTTTTCATTTTAGTGCTTAATTGTACTTTTTTAAAAAATATCACACAATATCAAAACCCATTTAAACACATTTTTCTTTAGGCTGTGCTCATTTTTCGTCACCAATTTATCACAATTTGAAAGTTTTTGAAAAAATTTAACCACACCGGAAGTGACCTTAATATTCATCTGGGGAGAAAATTTCGCGTTATACCAGGTAAAGAGAAGTGTCCTAAAGAAATCCTAGAAACATAGAAATAAACCATTTCAATCGTACGAAAATGATAAGAAATCGGTGCTCGTGGCAGTCTTATATCAGCTCAAGCAGTCAGAATTATCCTTAAAGCGGCGCACTTACGTGCTAAATACCTAAGGACATTGACCAAAAGGTACTTGTGTGACGATACACTGTCAAATTCCCGGATCTGAATCCAATTGAACACATTTGGGATTTTAAAAGAAATGTCAAAGCCCCTCCCCTTTTCCTCACAATTTCAATGGTTTTGAAAGATCAAGAATGCAGAACATGAAGGTACATGTAGGTGTGGCAGCAGATGGGTCGATCTCCTATTCAGTGGTACATGATATCCAACAATAAAGATTGTCTTGAAGTAATTAGAGCGAGTAGTGGGTCTTACTTCATCGATTTTTTTTTTGTGCGGATTTTCATTTTGCGGGTACATCATTTCCTTGACACTTTGCTTAAAATTCTGACGAGATACTTACATGAAATGTACGCATTATCGAACTTAAATATGCATCATTTACCAAGAATTAAAGAAATTATTTATTAATTGCATTTGTTCTTTAAATCTTCAAAAATGTGTGGTGAACACTTAGAAGTTTGGTTCAGTGTACATGTATAATTTTGCCATAATTGAGAATAAGAGTTTTAAAGATTTTTTCTATATATTTCTATGTAAACATTTCATTGCCCATTATGGCCCCACCTTACCCCCAGGGGTAATGATATGAACAAACTTGAATTAACTCTAAAGGATGTTTCTATATCAATATCACCAATCAATGCTTTGAGGATCTTGAGAAGAAGATTTTAAAAAGACTTTTCATATGTATTCCTATGTAACACTTCGATCACCCATTGAATCTACACTTCCTGAGGATGCTTACACATGAAATTCATCTTTCCTGTCCCAGTGGTTCTGGAGAAGGTTTTTAATAATTTTCATATATATTCCAATGTTAACTTTTGATCAGCCATTCCGACCCAGCCCTACCATTGGGTTATGATTTGAACAAACTTGAATCTACACCACTTGAGGATGTTTCCACATTAGTTTAATCTTTCTTGCCCCAGTGGTTCTGAAAAAGATTTTTAATGATTTCTCCTGTATATTCTTATATATTCCTATGTTAACATTTAAACAGCAAATGTAGCACCGCACTACCCGAGGATGTTTCCACTAAGTTTCATCTTTCCTGGTCCAGTGGTTCTGGAGAAGAAGATTTTTAATGATTTTTCCTATATGCATGTATCCCTATGTTAACATTTGATCAGCCATTGTTGCCCCGCCCTACTCCCCGGTGTCCTGATTTGAACAAACTTGAATCTTCATTACCCGAGAATGTTTCCATGTGAGTTTCATCTTTCCTGGCCCAATGGTTCTGGAGAAGAATATTTTTAAAAGATGTCATTAATTTTTCATTAATACATGATTATCTCCCCTTGGAAGAGGGCTTGTCCTTTCATTTAAACAAACTTGAACCCCTTCACCCAAGGATACTTTGTAGCAAGTTTGGCTGAAATTGGTCGATTAATCAATTGCTAATGTACGTATCACAGCTAATTAAGAAGGCTTCAGTGGTATTAGTAGACATATCAATTTGGTAGCACACATCGATCAATCTGTTTTCATTTGATTCTTGTTTTGATTAAATATGACATTAAATCTCATTCGTCTGTCCGTGTGTCCGTCGTTCCGTCTGTCCGTCAATTCTTATTCAAAAAAACTTTGACCTTGCCCATTACTTTTGATATAGATGAGCTATGACTTTCATATTTCTCATGTGTATTCCTTGTGACAAGATCTTTCTTTAGGTACCAACAAATTTGACCTTGGAGTTTGATCTACTTTAACACAAGAATTCCAAACTTTTTTGGCCATAACTTTTGAATGGTAGATACTAGGAATTTCATATTTCACATATGTTTTTTGTAGGAAGACCTTTCATTGGATACCAACAACTCTGACCTTTTGACCTTGACCTTGGAGATTTACATACTTGTGAAAAACTTTAACCTTGACTTTAACTTTTGAATGGTAAGGGCTATGGCTTTTATACTTCACATACTTATCCTTGTGAGAAGACCTTTTATTGGATACAAAGAACTTTAACCCTTTGACATTGACTTTGGAGTTGACCTACTTTTAAAAAACATTTTGATATCATTGACAGCTGCTTTTTCAAAAAGAACAGAACTCATAAATATAAATACCTTGTCAGTGGTTATTTGTAAAATTATTTTGTTGAAAAATTCTAATTGTACACACAAATATTCTGAAGTTGATTAAAAAGATCTCTCCTTGAGTTTCTTATTAACAATATGGTGTTTTTTGGTGATTATGTCTTCCAACAATCTGTTGGAATTCCCATGGGTACCAATTGTATCCCGTTCTTAGTAGACTTATTTTTTATTCATATGAAGCAGAATTTTTTTTAAATCTACAACTGGAAAAGAAGAAAATATTTGCTGTGGCCTTCAACTCGTTATTTAGATGTAGCAACATTGTATTGTCAATTGACAATGGTTATTTCCATTCTTATCTCGATACGATATATCCCGGAGAGTTTGAAGTAAAGGATACCACAAAGTCAGACACATCTGTTTCATATTTGGATAATTTACTAAAGAAAGAGGATGCTCATCCCTCCATGGCACCTGATCCCACTTCTGATGTTTTAAAGGTCTGTATTTGCTTTGCTTCAAATTTTGTATTGTTTTATGGACTAACGAGCTTGAATACTGTTCGTTATCTCCATACATTTCATCCAAAGTCGGCCAGAATACGACCCATTGATCGTTTATATTTGTTTGCTAACAATGTCATTAAACAACTTTAGAATTTACAAATTGCTGACATATCATCAATTTATCTGTGATGTGTATCCGGATCATATTCAGAGCATGTTCTTAGCAAATAATTGGGAGGAATATATACAATAAGCAGGCGACAGTAGAAAAAAAAAAGTTGACTCTAAAATCATCTCGTTTTTTTATACACCCACAATTTCATTCATAATTATTTCTTTTATTATTAAAAGCTGATGCAAGTTACCCAATGTTTGTGAATTCAGAAAACTGCAAAACAGGACACATTTTCATAAATTTACACTACTACAACATAGGTAATCTCAAACGGATGAAGTTTGTCCGGAGTCGTACTTATAAAATCTCGTGTGTATATACATGAATTTAGTTGCATTTCCTTATGACAGAGTACTTTAAATTCATATTCTTATTAAAATGCAGAGTGACGGTCTGAATAGAGATGATTGCATAGAGTGAGTACTAAGTCAAATATATACATAAATACTTTTAATTAAAGATAACGACTTTTGAAAACATATATCTATTTACTTTACAGCGGCCGTTGGTATAAAACATATAGCTGGTTGCCAAACGACGTATTTACAGGCGGACAAGAAGCAGACGGCAAAACACTTTACGTAGTCTGCGCCTACATTGGTGGCGTCTTTACACCTGGAAAATTCGGGCTGCATTTTAATAGTGGAGCCTGTATTCCGTACGATGGTGAAGAAAGGATTTGCCCAAGTTTTTACCATCTGTGCAATAAGAATTCTAATAAATGGATGTATAGCTGGGAGCGCGCCTCCAACGGAAACGTCCCTCATAACGCTCTAAGGGTGGATGAGGGGCTGTACGTGGGTCGAGTCCACCACGAGGGGAGTCTTATTCCATGTAAAGTTCACACAACGGATGGATGTGCTTATTTTGGTTATGCTGGGAAAGAACACAAAGCCAAGAGGTATGAGGTGCTCGTCTCCACATTGAAGTCTGGTCAGGCAGAGGAGGGGGAAGGGCAGAAAGAGGCCAAGGAATAGTCTCAATAAAGCCGAGAGGGAAATCAACTTTCTAATAGATTGTTCACTCTATAAGGAAAATATCGAAGCATAGAAACATAACGTAATTTTTTCTAGTTCAGATAGTTATCAGTTTGAAATATTTCTGGATCATTACCTTTGAAAAAATATTGATAATTTACTTCAGCTTGTAAATAGTTCTCTCGAATCTTATGTAATATTTTAAAGCAACAACAACTTGCTCTGTGTGCATTTTAGATTATAGAGTTTTATTTCTATAATTCTTATCAATTTTTTTTATTTCTACGATGGTATATTTTTGATACCTCTCTGTAGGCTCTTGAATGGAAATAAAGTAATGTTTTTGTCAATTGTCTATAATTAACTTGCATAACATTTTAACAAATCTTCTACATGTGATCCTTGGTATTAAGCAGGCAAACTTGATACATGATTATTATAAGCAATTAAGGATGATTAAGGTAGATTAAATGTATTACTACCTAAATCACGATCCTCTGCGGACAGTTATTCTTTACATTTACATGCTCTTCATTCCGCCAATCCACGTGCTACAAGCCCTGCTTTTTTTCTCTATTTGTCCCGCCCTGCACATGATTTTTTTAGCCGCGCCTATCGATGAAGCAGTGCATTGATGAGGAAATAAAGTACATTGACTATTTGTAATTTTATCTCGGACAAAGACATCAAAAATGTAAATATTTATGAATAAATCTGCTTTACACGGATATAAAAACATCGCTCAGAAAGGAACACAATGAATTGCCATAGAAATTCCCAGTTTTTGGGGGGAGTCTCAGAGTACTTGTGTTTAGAATCAGGGTGACTTTTAACAAAGTAATGTTGTTGATGATCAATTATCTATATTGAAATTACAGTTGTCTGTGATTCAAAAAAAACCTAGTTTATGATTTCCTAAGGAATGGTTGTCTATTTTGTTGAATAATTTTGTAAGGAATGGTTGTTTATTGTGTTGAAAAAATCTCTCTCTCTCTCTCTCTCTCTCTCTCTCTCTCTCTCTCTCTCTCTCTCTCTCTCTCTCTCTCATATTTTTTAAAAGCATTGTTCATACTTATTTGATTAATCTCCGATATCTGAAATGGGATTGTAAATAATGTTCATGGAGGAAGTACATATATTTGTGAAATACTATGGATGTCCTAGACAAGAAACACTGATAGAGCAGTATTTCAAATAACAATACTCTCTACACTACCTGAGGATGATTCCACATGAGTTTCATCTTTCCTGGCCCAGTGGTTCTGGAGAAGAAGATTTTTAAAGATTTTTCCTATATATTCCTATGTAAAACTTGGGTCAGCGATTTTGGCCCCACCCTTGCCCCGGGGGTCATGATATGAACAAACTTGAATCTACACTACCTGAGGATGTTTCCACATGAGTTTCATCTTTCCTGGCCCAGCGGTTCTAGAGAAGAAGATTTTTTAAAAATACCATTAATTTTTTACAAATTCATGTTTATCTCCCCTTGGAAAAGGGCGCGGCCCTTCATTTGAACAAACTTGAATCCCCTTCACCCAAGGATACTCTGTGCCAAGTTTGGTTGAAATTGGCCCAGTGGTTCTTGAGAAGAAGATGTAAATGTGAAAAAGTTTACAACGACGACAACAACAACAACGACAACGACAACGACGACAAACGACGGACAAATTTTGAACAGAAAAGCTCACTTGAGCCTTCGGCTCAGGTGAGCTAAAAACACACCATTTGGACAAGGCAACAACATGTAGCAGCTTTACTGTATTATGTACATAACATATGTAAAATATGAAAATCAATCTTAATGTACATGTAGATGTTGGAGTGAATAAATAAAGATGGAATTTTAACTTTTATTGTGCTCTACGTGTCTTCATAAACTACCATTGCAACCAATATTCACGTAGGAATGTTAATTCGGCGAATTTACACATTTTTTGTAATATCATATATGCAACGCTGCTATAACGGAAAAGTCTTGTAAAAAAATTTTTTTGCTATCATTAGCGATTCTATAGTCTTCATGTGACGTATATAAATGGTAACATATGCCTTAATAAAAAAGTTAAAAGTTCAACACTACCCGGGAGATAATTAATTTCTATTTGTAATAATAGTTATGTAAAATAATCTCTGTACAATAAAAAGTGCTACTAGAATCCTACTCTCCTATCAGTCTACAGAGATAATTATTCAACACTTTCGGATGAAACCCTACCAAATTTTTTTACATTTTGTACAGAAGATTGAAAAAAAATCACCAAATCCTGTGAACCATACGATTCTAGCAGCACTTTCCAAAAATTGTAGAATAAGGAATTTTTAATAGGAATAAAATTTATGTTCAAAGTATGCGGCGTAGTGTTGAACTTTTGCATCTTTTTTGTTGCGAACGACAGAGGAAAGGCTGGTCGGGAGGAAAACATACTGTCTGCTTTCATTTTATGAAGAAATTGAAGAAATATTAGCATACCTTATTCATAAGTTTTATTACCGCATGAATCACACACAATAATCATGCTAAATGCTTTCACGCCTTTTAACCTCCAAATTCTTGTGTTACTGATCAAGTTATGACGTCACGGGTTTGGTATTTAACCCCCGTGACAAAATACATGGATATTTATACCACCCAGAAACGACAAGATTGTGTCTACATTAATTTGGGTCTACTGAAAACTATCTATAGGCAAGAAGAATATCTGGTTGTAGCCTTGACATACCCGCGTACCTCTTATATCGCCTTGCTAACGAGACTCTAAAGAACCACGTGATTTTCGAATGAAAATGTTGCAATTCCGAACAAGTCATTCATTATCACTCAAAGTAGAAATTGATTTCTGTCTAATTCGTCCCTCAAACGAAAGAAATCATATTATTCACATATGTAGTGATTTCAGGCAATTGATCTCGGTCATATTGAATACTGTAAAACGAGAAAATTTGGCGCATACGTATTTTAGCGCAAACGCAAGTGGGAATGCATTAGCGCAAATAATTAAATTTTAGTGCTTTACACTTGTCATTAAAATATATAAATGTGATATTGTTTTTTATCCTCGCCCGTATTTGACTTTTTGGTTAGTCAAGCAAACACTCAAGTATATAAGTCAACTTTACCGTCGTGTTGCAATCACATGGACGTGGCACAATGTTAATTTTATTGTAATTTTAAAAGAAATAGAGTATTTACGCAATTTATTCATAATCAAAGAAGGCCATGCATTGAAAGAAAATAACTCTGATAAACGGAACTGGGAAATCATACAGGCACGTGGCATCGTTTTTGAAAGTGGGGGGGGGGGGCAACTAGAGATTTTTTTTTCTTACCTGAAAAGGCTGACAAGCAAAAAAAATTTAAATTTCTCCAAACTCGAAAACTATTTCATGTGTTTGTGTGTGTATGGGGGGGGTGATAGTGGCCAACTTTTTTCAAGGTAAAGTTCCTTTTACTTCCTATCTTTTTGCTACATTTCCTTGATATCACTATACTGTTGTCAAAAGTGGGGGGCCAACCATCCTTTCAATGGTCATTCTCCATAGTGAAGGTAATGTTGGCAAAAAAAGTGGGGGGGGGGGCAGGCCCCCTGCCCCCCCCCCCCCCCCCCGGTTGCTACTTCCCTGTCATAATTAGGTATGTCTGCAAGCTCAATCGCCATGCTTGATTAAATTGTTTATCTCGAGGCGATGGATGATTGACACGCCGAGAAGCCAAACTTTGACGGTACTAATATTAGGTATCGGGTAACAACTAACAATAGTTTAATCAAATTATAATTTGGCAGAACTTTCTCGATCGATGCTACCATGTACACTGCTAGTATGTATATAAAAAAAATCCAAAGCCCCTTCGACATTACGTAGTCGCGCGTTCCGGTATACATGTACTTTTGTGAAAGCTTTGAACACACACAAAAAATAATATTTAGAAATCTGTTAGAGCACAACAAATTTTAGCGTTCAGGGGCTCTTGCGCCAAAGGCGCTAAAATTAGTATTGCGCAAAATATTCTCGTTTTACAGTATGACATCGTTTACTTATTTACTCAAAAATCTAGATGTGATGACGTGACAGTGGTGTCTGCATAAAAGTAGATTCTTAGTTTATTGCGATTAAATGCAAAAATTATTGCGATTAAACACAAAACGCAATAAGTATTGCGTTTATTCGCAAAAGTATTGCGTTTAAACGCAAAACATTATTGCGATTAATCGCAATGTTTTGCGTTTAAACGCAATAATTATTGCGATTAAACGCAACGTTTTGCGTTTAAACGCAATAATTATTGCGATTAAACGCAATAAAAAATATTTCTCTCTGCGAATTGGCCTCAACTGACGTCCGTAAGTTTAAACTCTCTATCAATAATTATTGTATTGACAAAAAAATTATTAAAATTATGGTAAGCAATGGAATGTTAATTTTCTTGTTGATAACTCGCACATTTTGTCATCAATTATTTGTGTAAATACATAAATATTTCAACTTACATATGTTTTTATTTAGTCATGTATAAATGTCTATACTACATTTTAAAGTAGTTTTTAATGTTCCAAATTGTCTGAAATAAAACAAATTGATTGATGGAATGTTTAGTTATGTAAAAAATATCAAACAAAAGTTGTTTTTTTTAGTACGTGAGGACGAGGTAACAATCAAAGTCACTATTCCTGTCCATGAGTCGAATTATATATTTGGTATTTTCATCTTTCTTTGATTTTCAGGGGGTAACTCTTGCTCATGAGTTTACGGCTAAAATAAGATCTTTCATTCATAAAGCATCCGAATTATCGCCTGAACCAATAGATCTAAAGATTTTTATTAAAATCTATGCATTAGGATATTATGAATCAGCCTAAAGTTCAAAGGTCTGCCTTTGAAGCTATGCAGAAAAACAAGAAAAAGTGCATTGGTTTGAGCGATCCTTACACTTTCCTAACATAAATTTATAGGCCAGATTTTTTGAAAATTTATAATTATAGACCAAATCAGAAGCTGTATAATATCCTAATGCATAATTTAGCTGTATTTCAAACTCGATTTTGAAAGATTCAGACATGGCTTTCTTTCTTTTTTCGATAATTTGGAGAATTAAAAAAAACTCCTCTACTGTTACATGTATATGACTGAGAAGAAACAAACATGTATTTTTATTTCTGCCATTTTTTGATATGTTATTTCATTAAAATGGTAGAAGACACGTTATTTCATTAAAATCTCAGACTGTTCTTAGGCGGTTTAACTCTAGATAATTTTAACAGGTTTAAAGACATGCATTTAAAAACCGAACAGTTGTCCAAATTAACAATTTATATTGATACAAATTTGTACTGTTAAATCCTCTTTTTAACTGCGCAGTACAGAAATTTGCCTACAATAAAGGATCGAATTACCAGGTAAATAAATAATTCTTGAGATTCTTGCGCTCTCCTGGCTAAGTGAAGGTAAATAATTCTCGAGATTCTTATGCTTACCTGGTCAAGCAATTTTTTCTACGATTTATCTCTCCCCTTATATAGCAGCACTCTTGTTACACGTTGTCCAAGAAATATAATGACTGGTTTATTTGTAGCGTATATTTGTGTCCCAGTTACATGTAAATAATGTTTTGTATACGATTTTATAGTACTACTAGTGAACTTTTGTGAGGAGCGTTGACTTTTACAGTTTACGGTTTACTTTTACCTCAGGACAATGTATGGAAGCTCTTCTACGATATTAATGTTTACTCAGCAATTAATTACTTGAAAATATTTTTTTTATTTTAAATCACAAATATATTGCCCTTGAAGGGGCATAAATACGGACCCCTGGAAATTCCACGAGTGGGAGTAGGTGTCTGGGAAAAGTAGGCATCCCCTATCGACCGATCCCACCCACCGTGGACCATGTATTGAGTATAAAAACAGAGGTTTAACAATTGATATGAAAAAAGTCAGACAAAATACGATCCATTGATAGGTCTCATTTGCATACAAGTTCATTTTAACGACCACAGATTTAACGAAATGCCGGCGTTTAAGGAGGTTGTTGAAATCCCTGTCACGCCAACTTATCAGTTTGTAGACTGCTCTTATTAAAAAAACGATCGTACATGGAACAGTTCCTTGAGTATTGAATACAGTGAGATGTACACACCATATGTAGGTGATAGCGGGATATAACTACCTACGGTAGGTAAGGACAGTTAAAGATGGAAGAATTGAAGATTTCTCTTTTGTTACACAGTTTAGTTGTTAGTAAGCCCTTTTCGTTTAAAGTCAGAAAAACATACGAATATGAGGCAGATGTGTCAGACACAGTGATGTCTTTAATTGCAAGATCACTGGAATATCGAACATGAATAAAAGTAACTATTGTTAACTGATATGACATCGTCAATATATCTTATTGTTGAGTAGAAGGTCGAAATCTGTGTTTTCTTCTTCTCATGTAAATTTGAAATAAATGCTGCTTCAAAGGAATATGAAAGTTAGCTACTAAAGACGCACACTCAACAAGGCCAACAGTTGTTGGAAGATCTTTCCACCTAAGACTACATAAATCTTGTCAATGAGGAACTCCAGCATGCTTTTAATATCATCTCCAGAGTACTTGTGTAGAACTAGAGTGATCTTTAACAAAACAATTTGGTTGATGACCAAACAAATTATAAGAAAAATACCTACCTACATTTTTACCGAAGAAGCAGTTATCAATGATATCAATTTTTTTTTTTCGATTTCACTTGAATGATGGTTGTATGAAGAAGGATATGTTGATAATGAACAGTATTCAATATCAAAGTCCATAAAACAATACAAAATAGGAGCAGAGCAAACATGGACCTCCGAAACATCAGAGGTAGGATAATTGTATAAAGTGTAAGGAAGTCGTACCTTTTGATGTCACCTACTCTCAATAAAAATTAATCAATTCCCTTTTATCTTGTTTTCGGACAAAGGAATACATAATAAAAAAGATCATAAGGGGTGGATTATGAACTTTCTTGAGAGGGGAGATAACATATCCAGTCATAAAACTCCAGGGTAGAGACTTTCTGAAAAGGAAAATTCATAAAAAAAATCTTCAGATACAGCAGAGTGTCTTAAATCCCGTTTTCAATGGTTCAATAGTGCAAGTATTTTGTTTTCATCTTTATACACTAGCACCATTATCACCAGACTTCTTGATAGAAAGCTTGTATGATCAGGTGAGCTATAATTGTGAGGGACCCCTCTTTTAAAACGGTTTAAACTACGCAAAATAACCTATAACAACACCCGCTGAAAAGTCGAGTCTACAAATATATATAACTTTTGAGAATTTTAATTTATGGATAATACCATTTTATTTACAAATACAGAGCTAGGGATATATCACGTCGTTTTCTTTTATATTATACATCAATATAAACTGCAGTTTCATATTACACATCCGTCCTGAAGAGCTCTCGTACAGGTAGGTCAATACACATTTTATTTTTAAACAAACATTAGTAACGTTCTTACACGAAAGAAAGTTTTAATTCGAAAAGTAAAATAGATTTAATGACATACATGAAAAGTGGAATTGGTTTTCAGTATATATCAAGATCGACTGCATTATGACATAAAAAAAAATATACTCTTTACAATTGGATCGTCGAGCCGAGGTACTTTCTGCTTCTTACTTTAAAGGATATTTTCTTTACTTATTCTGGTAACTTAAAGGCAATCAAATGGAAAATTTCTAATTAATGAACTTTTCAAAAACTAATCATTTTTAATTACTATTGTGAATTTCTTTTTAAAAGAAAACACTGTTTGGCATATCCTTCATCAATATAGTTGTTTCTCTTTTAGAATTTGTCTGAATATTTTGTTTGGATTTGAGAAGAAAAGAAAAAAGGGAAAGAAAATAAAGGTTTCTTTATGCATGAAAATATAGTATTGGGTTAATAACTTTTTGACTGGGTTGGAACCACCACCCTCTCCTTTTAGAAAAGGAATCCCGCATCCACGCCTTTTCTCAACTTTATTTTTATCAGTCATTTACATGAATATGGTGTTCTTCTTTTTATGATATTCAATCAGTATTTCGGAAAATGTATTGTCTTGAAAAGCCTTTTTTTTTGGGGGGGGGGGGGGGGGTATTAGTTTCATAATTACCTTTCCGAATTCCTCAATTTTATCATAAAATCAATTTTAGATGGAAAAAGAAAAAATATTGCAGAAACAGCAAAAATATGTATAATTATGCATGAACTATGATCTTTAAAATACGATGATATATTTGTTGTTTACATTATTGTCTTACGTTTATTTAGATACTTTAAGAAAGAACAAGGATGACATTTTATGTGGAATTGCTATCGTCAGCCTTTGGTTTGATTTTATTCGTCGTTGCCATGGCCTTACCTGGATTCATAACTGAAGAGGTAACTGTAACCTTTTTGAAAGATTATATGTTATAATTGATTAATTGAAAATTCAATAACAGAAAAAAATCTTTTTTTGAGAGAGAGAGTCAATCAAAGGAAATAGTCATGAATTGTTATGATATAAATATGGGAATTTACTTAGTGTATTATGCAATGCTTTAGAGTATCAAAATGGGCATCTTTTACGCCAGGATGTGTGTTCCCAATCAATGTTCAACAAGCTCTTACGTAGATCTGGATGAGAAGAATGAAACCAAAGGGCAGCTTTAGCTCTGTAAATCAATCAATCTCTCTCTCTCTCTCTCTTTCTCTCTCTCTCTCTCTCTCTCATTTTTAAAGGCTTTGTTCATAGTTATTTAATTAATCTCCGATATCTGAAAAAGGGATTGTAAATAATGTCTGATGGAGGAGGTACATATATATGTGGAATATTATGGATGTCCTAGACAAGAAACCCTCACAAAACAGTGTTTAAAATAACCATACTTTTCTTCAGCAATGATAGATATGCAGATAGAGAGTCTCCTTGCTGTCGTCCTTGGGGGAGTCGGATGGTTGATTCTTTTTTGGAATACCAAGAGGAAAGTGTCGATTCCATCGACGTTTGTGATTGGGGGAATTTTACTACTTGTGGCAGGTAATGACTTTTTACCTTAATACTGATTTATTTGATATCAGTAAATAGCTGTAGAACATTAATCTATCAAATAAAGAAAACCAAAAATATGTTGTGTCATCAAAACGTTGAAATCAATCCTTATTATTGTATGCTTAAAACAAAATTATTTTTAAAAATATGTTTTCATCTATAGTTACATCTGAGTTCGCTGTCTTGCTTCAATTTATCGCCACGAACGTATCCAGAAAAGCATCACAAGGGAAAGACAGCACTCTCGGAGTTCCATACTCATTAATACTTGTCGCCTTTGGTATTTTATTCATGCTTGTTGCTGTTATAAGGAGCTTTATGTTCTTTATCAGAAATGAACATAATGAAGATAAAACGAAGACTTATCAACAGACAGGGGATGAACCAGGGAGAAATATCAAAACAAAATATAAAACTAGAGCTTAAAGCTAAAAGACATCATCCTTAAAATATGTTAAGAATTAAAGTTTGCTATATTAGAATATGTTATTATGATATTTTTTTAAGTAATTTATATCTTTATGATCAATTAGACGTACATTAAGTACTAGTATTTTACATTGTTTCAAAACTTAAATCGTCTGTACAATCAAATATATATACATTATTATTTAAGAAAACAATATTGTACGTAGAAAAACATCTCATTTTGTGTGTTGGATGAGGGGATGGATAAAACCATACAATGAAACATATAACGCTTTCAGTGTTCGTGCAGAATCACTGAAGCAAACGGTTTGGTTTAATCAATTTTTTTTCAAGATTGTAGTTTCTAAATTAAGAAACATTCAGAGAGAACGAAAAAGAGGATAGGACACCAAGAGATAGATAGGCAAACGTACTTCAAATATTAGGATATAAAGTTTTTAAAATTGCATCTTTTAGCTGTGTTATTAATGAAAGGATTTTGCCACCTAAAATAATCTAGTCTCTTTTTTATATTTCACGAAAGAGGGTTAGGATTGCTTAATCCAATCTCCTTTTTTCTATCGTCTTCCAATCATTTGAATTTTTAGTTGATGTAGTTTATGCTTAAAACAAGGTACGGTTTCAAATATTGCCTTGTGATTTTCTTAAAAAATGAAACTGATGTAAAATTTGAAAACTCATGCTTTGAAATTCCATGCGGAAAAATCAAGCAGATCATTTTCCTCACACACATTTCTAAATGCTTATTGTGGTGAACATGCATATTTTCCTTTATTTTCTGAAGAAGTTGAGGAAGATACCAATTTTCAATGCAATTTTCTGTCAGATAATATTGTTTCCAGGTATCGACCACAAAGATTTTGAGATATGTGAACTTTAAATGAATTTTACAACATATCTAAAAAATAAAAATTAAAGCTGAATATGACGTATCTGATCTAAGAATAAAAATACAAGAGTAGGTTTAGATTAAGATGATATTTGTTATTAACGTTCAATTAAATTCAAATTTTCACCAATTTTGAACTTAATTATCCCCACGTTTCTTTAGTTAAATTGATTTTAAACTGTGTCTGCTACTCAATTTCGAGCCTGAAATAAATCGGTTATTGTTGTAAAATTGTGATTTCTATAAACCGCTATTGATTTATATTGTGTACAAGTAATTTGCAGGAAAGTCCTATCTTGATATAAAGAAATAAAACTGATAGAAAGATCTTTTTAATTTTGGTTAGTGTGATATTATCTTTTTAAAAAGCCATATATGACGTTAAATTGGGAGACAGCTGAGGACACTATTTTCTTAAGGGAAATTACTCTTGAAATGGATCATTTTGAGACTTTCCTTAAAATAAAGAAATGCATCAAATTAACGACGTCATATTCCCAGAATGATACCTTTATGCTAAATACCTTCTTTATCGATAAAAGCCATGAACACAACTAATATTTGAGACAGTTTCAAAATTTAAAAAAAAAAAAAACATTTAATTTTTAGGGCACAATTAAGCAAAAAACGTACCTTCTTTTGAAATATTGAGATTAAGATGTTTTTCTTTTTCTTGATTAATTAAATAAATGAAATACCACTTGTCTGTAATATGGCTCCAAGGAAAAGTAAACACGTATGTTCCTCGCTATTTATGTTGAAGACACCCAATTTTATTAAAATAGCAGGCTATTATTAGACACAATTCAGTTCTATTTTAGACATTTTTTTACGCAATGTCAAAGTTTGGGATTTAAAGCCGATCAATAACGATTCTATTCATTTAAATCTTCGTTTAACTGCGCATAATCGACAAGTGCCAAAAATAAAGAATCGAATTACCATGTAAACATAATGCCCAAGATTCTAACGCTCACCTGGTCAAGTAAATTTTATAAAAAGTGATGTTTTTCTCACCTTTTTCTACACTATTAAAATACTTCAGTCCAAAACTTTCCACAAATTTCGTAGATGATTAATAACTGTTTTAAAAACATTTATTGGTAGGTAATATTTACTTACAGGGTCATTATAACGACCACAGAATTCACAAAATGCTGACTTTAAACGAGGTGGTTAAAATCCCTGTAACATAAACTTATCTGTTCTTAACCTGCCTATGTTTAACAGCTTATCGTACTCGGAGCATGCTCTTGATTGTTAAATAAGTTAGGAAATGTAAAGGTGATAAGGTGACCAGGTGATAGGAGGATATCTCTACGTAAATAAGAAAAGCTTACAATGGCAAAGGGTGACCTCGTTTGTCAAAGGAGTAAAAATTGGAAGGCCGCGATTGACATCAGCGGATGAAAATTAGGTAGGGACTGTTTCTTTACCAATTGCTCGACTTTTTTTAAACAAAATGTTGAGGTCCTTCGGATAGGCCCTGGAAAACTGAGGTCCCGTCTCATGGCAGGTGCTGGCACTATAAAGATACCTCATTGCCCGATTTTCAATTTCAACCTGCAAAGGACTAAATTTGAAGACCTTCATTGATAAACGTTGGCGATTCTATATGAGTGAAACATTCTCCAATGATACGTCAAGCAACATTCAATTATTTAATCAATCATTTATACATATTGTAAGTTGTTTGTTGACCCTTATGGTCAACATCCAGATATGAAACAGATGAGATAGACATTAAGTGTCATTGAATTCATGTCCACTGGGTTAAATATCGAATCGACATATCAATGAAAGTTTACCGACTGTATACAAGAAAGCATCACTAAAACTAAACTGCATGGCTCTACTTCGGCATAATAATGTTATCCTAATGTCGAGTTGAATAATATTTTTTTTAAAGACCGTTTTTTCCGTGTTTTCTTCTTCTCATATAGAAGTTTTGGAATAAATTCTGCTTCACAGGAATAAACGTTAACTTATAACGTATATTTCCATATGCTAGTATTTCATTAAGTGCCTAATCTTTACCTTCATTTACTAGCACCTTATATATTGTTGTTAGCATCATACTACTGAATACAAAGTTTGTCTGTTCAGGTGAGCTATAAAACTAATAGGGGACCTCCTCTTTGAAAACACTTTAAGTGCGCTTTAAATACGCACAATAACAAACCAATATTAGAATCTATTTGCACGTTTATTTTTAGAATCAAATATATATAGTTATTGGGACATGTTACGCTGTTTTCTTTGATGTTATATATAAATACAAACTGTTCCATATTACACAGCGGTACTGAAGAGCTCCCATATAGGTTGGTCATCACTCAGCTTTTATAACTGATTCTTTTCCTTTTCTCTAATGATTTTTCTCTTCATTCTTTGTTTAATTTTTCTTCTTTTTTGTCTAATTTTAATACGTTTGTTCGTTCGTTTGTTTGTTGTTTAACGTCCCTCTTGAGAATTGTTCACTCATATGGAGACCATACCACTTGCCGGTGGAGGGCTGCAAATTTTGACCTTTACTCAGGCCCATAGAGCAGGGAGATATCTTTTTCGTGCCAGCACCTATTATGATGCGGTTCCTCGGTTTAAGCCAAAAAAATAATGCATTGAATATAAAATATGGAAACTGGGATTCATTATCAGCGCATCAAAAATGACTGAAATACTTTCTTTAAATGAATTACAAGTATAACTTCTTTTTTTAAACGACAATTCCTCGCTTAGTAAATAATCTTATGTTTGTTATGGATACTTTAAAAGAGAATAAGGATGCCGATTTATGTTGAATTGCTATCGTCAGCCATTGGTTTGATTTTATGCATCGTTGCCACGGCCCTACCTGGATTCATAATTGAAGAGGTAACTGTAACTTATTTGAACGATTATAATTGTATTTAAACTCGGTAGAATATTAAATAGAAGAATAGAAACACCATTTGTTGTGCAACAATTAAAGGAAACAGTAATGTATTTTCCTTGTAATAGCAATTTATACTATTCAATTTTGTAGGTTAGCCAATTGAGCATTTTTTACGCCAGGGATTGTGATCGCCAGGAAACTGACAAATGCTCGACAAGTTCTTACGTAGCTTTAGATGAGAAATATAAGTTCAATGGGGCGCTTCAGCTCTGTAAGTCTCTTTCTCTTTCTCTCTCTTTCTCTCTCTCTCTCTCTCTCTCTCTCTCTCATTTTTTCTAAAAGTTTTCTACATAGTTATTTGATTTACTTCCGATTTTGAAAAGAAGTATTTTTAAATATTTACATTTACAATAAAGAACAAGGTTCACGTTTGCCTTATTTGGCCCTGTGAATTTCTGAAAAACTGAAACTACATAGTTTTTGTTAACAATGCATCTAATATCTTTTAGATCTTTGGTGATTGTGTATATATAAAAAAAATGACGTAATTTACTGGCTAGTCAATGCATTATAACGTCACGAAATGCGTCCTCAAAAAAAGTATACAAAATCGGCCAATTTTAAAAGCTATTTTTCGATATTTAATATAGAGCGCAATCTCTGATCTAAGATATCCAATCAGTAAATGAAAAACTGTTTCTGAGGATTAAAAGACATGTTTTATTTTTTTAGACAAGAGAGTGCGCTCATATGATTTTTCTTCATTAAAAATATACTCAAATATACCTGTTTAGCCTAAAATTCAAGAACATTGAAATTTTATCAAGTCAGTTCTCCGAGACCTGGCCTTTTAGGAGAAAAATTTTAATAGGATATGAAAACATGAAGTCTCTAATTTATTTAAATGCTTCATATGAACAATCAAGTGTTTATAAATCAATTGGTATATCTACAGGGCTATTTTATGCATAAAGTGAACCGACTTCTTTCCCCTATATATGATTCTTTACAAAATAAAATGCAGTATATTTCCTCATGAACTACATTACATATGTACTACGAATAAGCATGAATATCTCCTTTGTTACGCCACTTGACGTCAAAAAATATAGTGCACACTGTTTTGCGTTAAAAATAACAGTTGAACGCTTCACGCCGGCATATTTATCGAAGTCTTAAAAAAACCTTAACAGAACATATATAAAATAACCATATTTTTCTTCAGCAATGATAGATGTGCAGATAGAGAGTCTCCTTGCTGTCGCGGCCGGTGGAGTTGGATGGTCGATTCTTTTTTGGAATAATACCAAGAGAAAAGCGTCGATTCCATCGACGTTTGTGATTGGGGGAATTTTACTACTTGTGGCAGGTAATGACTTCCTACCTTAATAAACGATATCAGTAAATAGCCGTAGAACATTATCTATCTAAGGAAGAAAACCATAAATATGAGCGATAATCTACGCGTTCAAACCGTTTAGATTAATATTTAGATTAAGGATATGCTTTAAATATAAATGAGATAATTTTAAGTGAACTTTTTTTCCATTCATAGTTACATCTGAGTTCGCTGTCTTGGTTCGATTCATCGCCACGAACGCTTCCAAAAAAGCGACACATGGGAAAGAATTTTCTTTTGGAGTTCCGTACTCATTAATACTTGTCGGCTTTGGTATTGTATTCATGCTTGTTGCTGTTATAAGGAATTTTTACCTCAATATCAGACATGAAGATACCACGATGACTAATCAACGGACGGAAGATGAACCGAGGAGTAATATCACTGAAAACAAAATCTAAAGCTAAAAGACATCATCTTTAAAATATGTTGAGAATTAAATTTTATTTTGTAAGAATATGATAAATTTGTAATTTTTCCTTTATGATCAATTAGACTTAATTATAAAAAGTAGTAGTATTTAAATTATTTCAAAACATAAAATGTCTGTACAAACAAATATTTAGTATTTTTTAAGAAAACAATATTGTACAGGACGACAGAGTATTTTTGTATCATTACGAGCTTGTAAATAAAATATTACAAATATGAACAACAGAAGTTTATGAGTATTAAATAAATGCTCTTTTCCTCTGTCTTTGAAGTAAGTAATAGCAAATTTGCAACAAACATCAAAGTAGCATCTCATTTTGCTTTCATGTTGATTTTGGCACATATTGAGAATGCTTTAGCTTTGACATTTACTTAACAAAATGTGATGACTTTACAACAGGTTTTGTTTTAAATTTGATTCATATTTAAAATAATTGAAAAAAAAAACAAATGATAGCTATGTGTAAAAGATGTGACTTAAAGAATTCCCCATGGTTTGAAATTTGAATATGTCTTTTATCAAATAAAGCAAAAATAAATTAATAACAATTGTCTGAATGATGCCGTATTTATCTTTTAAATATCAAATAAGGGTATACTTTTGAGAATGTGAGGATGTGTTGCTTCTATATATACATGAACTACAACTGCTTTTGAAAATTGTCCATTATTACTGCTACAGTGTCATAACTAATTAGTAGGTAAATTGTTTTCTTCTATTGGATTTGAACTTGGATTTAATTTTAAAAGTTGTAATTCAACTTATACTCATAGAACCATTTCTTAGGAGAAAAGTCTTCAAAATCATATGTCAGGTTTGGATATTTTTAATATTCCAAGCAACCAAATTGAATTTAAATATGACCGTAACTATATTGATTTCCGAAACTTTTGAATTTGTTTACAAAAATTATACATAGCAGGTTGAGGTAAATGTTCTACCAAGTCTCTTTCTTTACACCTCTCTAAGATGATTAACATTAGTGAAGGACAAACTTCAAGAGTATTGTTCAACATTATTTTCGATCCCCGCGAGAAGTGGTGTAAACCAGATGTGGATACGAAATAAAAAATTCCAAGGAACTTTTAGAACATTTGAAATCACAAAATTTTAACAAAATCAATAACATTAAAAGGTACCACTTATCAACTTTAAATACAACTATTTCCCACGACAAATAAAGGTCCAGGCTTCCAACATCATTGATAGCTGTTTTATAAATAAAAATTAAACTCGTACCCATTTTAAACAAGAAGCCAATTGGCCACATCGCTCATCTGAGCACATGGGCTAGTTAAAAACACAAATCAGCTCAGTATTGAAAAACTAACTTGTCGGGGAGAGGGAATTCGATTTTTTATTACTTGAGAATGTCATTATATCAATTAAATATACACTTTACAAAACTTCTAAGTGTTCACTTTAATAAATGTATTTCTTTAAAAACTACCTCATAGAATGGTATGATGTTTTCACACTATTACAACAAATGAGTCTTCTCAACAATTGCAGAACGAAATTAAAATTCAATATCACCGATGAAAACCAATGTTCCGTGACGGAGAGCCGTTGGAATATTAATATCTGGACCATCTGTTCACCGCGTTTTACTCGTTTTCATTTTAGTGCTTAATTGTACTTTTTTAAAAAATATCACACAATATCAAAACCCATTTAAACACATTTTTCTGTAGGCTGTGCTCATTTTTCGCCACCAATTTATCACAATTTGAAAGTTTTTGAAAAAATTTAACCACACCGGAAGTGACCTTAATATTCATCTGGGGAGAAAATTTCGCGTTATACCAGGTAAAGAGAAGTGTCCTAAAGAAATCCTAGAAACATAGAAATAAACCATTTCAATCGTACGAAAATGATAAGAAATCGGTGCTCGTGGCAGTCTTATATCAGCTCAAGCAGTCAGAATTATCCTTAAAGCGGCGCACTTACGTGCTAAATACCTAAGGACATTGACCAAAAGGTACTTGTGTGACGATACACTGTCAAATTCCCGGATCTGAATCCAATTGAACACATTTGGGATTTTAAAAGAAATGTCAAAGCCCCTCCCCTTTTCCTCACAATTTCAATGGTTTTGAAAGATCAAGAATGCAGAACATGAAGGTACATGTAGGTGTGGCAGCAGATGGGTCGATCTCCTATTCAGTGGTACATGATATCCAACAATAAAGATTGTCTTGAAGTAATTAGAGCGAGTAGTGGGTCTTACTTCATCGATTTTTTTTTTGTGCGGATTTTCATTTTGCGGGTACATCATTTCCTTGACACTTTGCTTAAAATTCTGACGAGATACTTACATGAAATGTACGCATTATCGAACTTAAATATGCATCATTTACCAAGAATTAAAGAAATTATTTATTAATTGCATTTGTTCTTTAAATCTTCAAAAATGTGTGGTGAACACTTAGAAGTTTGGTTCAGTGTACATGTATAATTTTGCCATAATTGAGAATAAGAGTTTTAAAGATTTTTTCTATATATTTCTATGTAAACATTTCATTGCCCATTATGGCCCCACCTTACCCCCAGGGGTAATGATATGAACAAACTTGAATTAACTCTAAAGGATGTTTCTATATCAATATCACCAATCAATGCTTTGAGGATCTTGAGAAGAAGATTTTAAAAAGACTTTTCATATGTATTCCTATGTAACACTTCGATCACCCATTGAATCTACACTTCCTGAGGATGCTTACACATGAAATTCATCTTTCCTGTCCCAGTGGTTCTGGAGAAGGTTTTTAATAATTTTCATATATATTCCAATGTTAACTTTTGATCAGCCATTCCGACCCAGCCCTACCATTGGGTTATGATTTGAACAAACTTGAATCTACACCACTTGAGGATGTTTCCACATTAGTTTAATCTTTCTTGCCCCAGTGGTTCTGAAAAAGATTTTTAATGATTTCTCCTGTATATTCTTATATATTCCTATGTTAACATTTAAACAGCAAATGTAGCACCGCACTACCCGAGGATGTTTCCACTAAGTTTCATCTTTCCTGGTCCAGTGGTTCTGGAGAAGAAGATTTTTAATGATTTTTCCTATATGCATGTATCCCTATGTTAACATTTGATCAGCCATTGTTGCCCCGCCCTACTCCCCGGTGTCCTGATTTGAACAAACTTGAATCTTCATTACCCGAGAATGTTTCCATGTGAGTTTCATCTTTCCTGGCCCAATGGTTCTGGAGAAGAATATTTTTAAAAGATGTCATTAATTTTTCATTAATACATGATTATCTCCCCTTGGAAGAGGGCTTGTCCTTTCATTTAAACAAACTTGAACCCCTTCACCCAAGGATACTTTGTAGCAAGTTTGGCTGAAATTGGTCGATTAATCAATTGCTAATGTACGTATCACAGCTAATTAAGAAGGCTTCAGTGGTATTAGTAGACATATCAATTTGGTAGCACACATCGATCAATCTGTTTTCATTTGATTCTTGTTTTGATTAAATATGACATTAAATCTCATTCGTCTGTCCGTGTGTCCGTCGTTCCGTCTGTCCGTCAATTCTTATTCAAAAAAACTTTGACCTTGCCCATTACTTTTGATATAGATGAGCTATGACTTTCATATTTCTCATGTGTATTCCTTGTGACAAGATCTTTCTTTAGGTACCAACAAATTTGACCTTGGAGTTTGATCTACTTTAACACAAGAATTCCAAACTTTTTTGGCCATAACTTTTGAATGGTAGATACTAGGAATTTCATATTTCACATATGTTTTTTGTAGGAAGACCTTTCATTGGATACCAACAACTCTGACCTTTTGACCTTGACCTTGGAGATTTACATACTTGTGAAAAACTTTAACCTTGACTTTAACTTTTGAATGGTAAGGGCTATGGCTTTTATACTTCACATACTTATCCTTGTGAGAAGACCTTTTATTGGATACAAAGAACTTTAACCCTTTGACATTGACTTTGGAGTTGACCTACTTTTAAAAAACATTTTGATATCATTGACAGCTGCTTTTTCAAAAAGAACAGAACTCATAAATATAAATACCTTGTCAGTGGTTATTTGTAAAATTATTTTGTTGAAAAATTCTAATTGTACACACAAATATTCTGAAGTTGATTAAAAAGATCTCTCCTTGAGTTTCTTATTAACAATATGGTGTTTTTTGGTGATTATGTCTTCCAACAATCTGTTGGAATTCCCATGGGTACCAATTGTATCCCGTTCTTAGTAGACTTATTTTTTATTCATATGAAGCAGAATTTTTTTTAAATCTACAACTGGAAAAGAAGAAAATATTTGCTGTGGCCTTCAACTCGTTATTTAGATGTAGCAACATTGTATTGTCAATTGACAATGGTTATTTCCATTCTTATCTCGATACGATATATCCCGGAGAGTTTGAAGTAAAGGATACCACAAAGTCAGACACATCTGTTTCATATTTGGATAATTTACTAAAGAAAGAGGATGCTCATCCCTCCATGGCACCTGATCCCACTTCTGATGTTTTAAAGGTCTGTATTTGCTTTGCTTCAAATTTTGTATTGTTTTATGGACTAACGAGCTTGAATACTGTTCGTTATCTCCATACATTTCATCCAAAGTCGGCCAGAATACGACCCATTGATCGTTTATATTTGTTTGCTAACAATGTCATTAAACAACTTTAGAATTTACAAATTGCTGACATATCATCAATTTATCTGTGATGTGTATCCGGATCATATTCAGAGCATGTTCTTAGCAAATAATTGGGAGGAATATATACAATAAGCAGGCGACAGTAGAAAAAAAAAAGTTGACTCTAAAATCATCTCGTTTTTTTATACACCCACAATTTCATTCATAATTATTTCTTTTATTATTAAAAGCTGATGCAAGTTACCCAATGTTTGTGAATTCAGAAAACTGCAAAACAGGACACATTTTCATAAATTTACACTACTACAACATAGGTAATCTCAAACGGATGAAGTTTGTCCGGAGTCGTACTTATAAAATCTCGTGTGTATATACATGAATTTAGTTGCATTTCCTTATGACAGAGTACTTTAAATTCATATTCTTATTAAAATGCAGAGTGACGGTCTGAATAGAGATGATTGCATAGAGTGAGTACTAAGTCAAATATATACATAAATACTTTTAATTAAAGATAACGACTTTTGAAAACATATATCTATTTACTTTACAGCGGCCGTTGGTATAAAACATATAGCTGGTTGCCAAACGACGTATTTACAGGCGGACAAGAAGCAGACGGCAAAACACTTTACGTAGTCTGCGCCTACATTGGTGGCGTCTTTACACCTGGAAAATTCGGGCTGCATTTTAATAGTGGAGCCTGTATTCCGTACGATGGTGAAGAAAGGATTTGCCCAAGTTTTTACCATCTGTGCAATAAGAATTCTAATAAATGGATGTATAGCTGGGAGCGCGCCTCCAACGGAAACGTCCCTCATAACGCTCTAAGGGTGGATGAGGGGCTGTACGTGGGTCGAGTCCACCACGAGGGGAGTCTTATTCCATGTAAAGTTCACACAACGGATGGATGTGCTTATTTTGGTTATGCTGGGAAAGAACACAAAGCCAAGAGGTATGAGGTGCTCGTCTCCACATTGAAGTCTGGTCAGGCAGAGGAGGGGGAAGGGCAGAAAGAGGCCAAGGAATAGTCTCAATAAAGCCGAGAGGGAAATCAACTTTCTAATAGATTGTTCACTCTATAAGGAAAATATCGAAGCATAGAAACATAACGTAATTTTTTCTAGTTCAGATAGTTATCAGTTTGAAATATTTCTGGATCATTACCTTTGAAAAAATATTGATAATTTACTTCAGCTTGTAAATAGTTCTCTCGAATCTTATGTAATATTTTAAAGCAACAACAACTTGCTCTGTGTGCATTTTAGATTATAGAGTTTTATTTCTATAATTCTTATCAATTTTTTTTATTTCTACGATGGTATATTTTTGATACCTCTCTGTAGGCTCTTGAATGGAAATAAAGTAATGTTTTTGTCAATTGTCTATAATTAACTTGCATAACATTTTAACAAATCTTCTACATGTGATCCTTGGTATTAAGCAGGCAAACTTGATACATGATTATTATAAGCAATTAAGGATGATTAAGGTAGATTAAATGTATTACTACCTAAATCACGATCCTCTGCGGACAGTTATTCTTTACATTTACATGCTCTTCATTCCGCCAATCCACGTGCTACAAGCCCTGCTTTTTTTCTCTATTTGTCCCGCCCTGCACATGATTTTTTTAGCCGCGCCTATCGATGAAGCAGTGCATTGATGAGGAAATAAAGTACATTGACTATTTGTAATTTTATCTCGGACAAAGACATCAAAAATGTAAATATTTATGAATAAATCTGCTTTACACGGATATAAAAACATCGCTCAGAAAGGAACACAATGAATTGCCATAGAAATTCCCAGTTTTTGGGGGGAGTCTCAGAGTACTTGTGTTTAGAATCAGGGTGACTTTTAACAAAGTAATGTTGTTGATGATCAATTATCTATATTGAAATTACAGTTGTCTGTGATTCAAAAAAAACCTAGTTTATGATTTCCTAAGGAATGGTTGTCTATTTTGTTGAATAATTTTGTAAGGAATGGTTGTTTATTGTGTTGAAAAAATCTCTCTCTCTCTCTCTCTCTCTCTCTCTCTCTCTCTCTCTCTCTCTCTCTCTCTCTCTCTATTTTTTAAAAGCATTGTTCATACTTATTTGATTAATCTCCGATATCTGAAATGGGATTGTAAATAATGTCCATGGAGGAAGTACATATATTTGTGAAATACTATGGATGTCCTAGACAAGAAACACTGATAGAGCAGTATTTCAAATAACAATACTCTTCTTCAGCAATAATAGATGTGCAGACCCAGATAGCATGACTATGTTAGGCCAACATTTGTAAAAGGTTGTATGGTTGGCGTTGGGGGAACAACAATGGGCCAACGTTGGACCAATGTTACCAAGTCAACCTTCTCGACCATGACAGAATTCCTATGTTGGCCCAACGTTGGTCCAACGTAAGCAACTTCCATTCACTTTAGTTTCCAAGGAAGGAAGGATCCTGGTGTTGGTCCAACGTTTGACCAATGTTTATAATCCCTTAAAGAAAAGTGTATTTACAAGTTTGTTGTAGTACGTTGGCCCGATGTTTGTAATACACCCTTAAAGAATGCGTCTTATCAAGTTGGTAGTAATATGTTGGCCCAACGTTAGCCCATTGTTAGTAATACACCCTTAAAGAACGTGTCCTATCAAGCTGGTAGTAGTATGTCGGCCCAATGTTGGCACAATGTTTGTAATTCGCACAAGTGTTATTTTGTTTAGGTCTTCAAAGATGGGATATTTATATTGGGCCAACGTTGGCCCAATTGTTATACTGCCAACTAATTGATGGTGTCAAATTTAAAATTAGCTGCTGAGCTTTATGTTTGGACAACGTTGGCACATTCTGAAATAATTAAGAGGACTTTCTATGTCCATGCTTATCATTGGATGACTGCTCTTGTTTAGATATGATATTTTCAACATTTTAACTTTGCACGTAAGTGATCACAGCACCAAAGAGTGTTTTATTCTATTTTTTGAATTATGTTTATGCTTATTTATTTGTAATAAACCAGATAGCAGAACATCGTTGGCCAATTCTTACATTATGGTTGTATTATCTATGTTGAGTTACCTTTTTTGGGCCAACAATGGCCCAACATGGAATATCGATAGCTGGTTATGTATAATGGTGCGCTAATGTTGGGCTAACTGTTGCATAATATCATAAAATTATTATCATGAGAGAAGATATGTGTTTGGCATCGGCCCAACGTTGGCCCAATATACCATGAATCTAACTGAGCATTATGGGTAGACAACAACCGGGCTGCTTGTAATATCCTCGCCATTTTTAATCTGACACGAGCGAGCGTAATGAGACTGATACCTTACATATCTGCGTCCACTTTGTAAGTATTTATAATATGTTTGCCCCGGCACAGTTGTATTAACTATTAGTTTTTAAACGATATCATGTACAAATCTGCGTAAAGCAGACATGGGGAAGTGCAGAGGCCAGGTGCTGTTGGGTCAACATTGTATCCCAGATAGCATGCTAACATTGGGCCAATGTAATCGGTTACATCGGACCAATGTTGGCAAATAACATTGACCCAATTTAAGTTTGCTCATCGGCCCAATGTTAGCCCGATATGTTGTGCCAACGTTGGTCCAGTGTAGAGTGTTATTTCTACAGATATTGGCCCAACGTTACGCCAACATTGGCCCAGTGGATGTGACATTGTTTGCCCAAAGTCAATAGGAACGTTAGGCCGATGTTGGCAAATGACGTTGGTCCAGTGTCATTTTGCTCCTTAGCCCAATGTTGGCCCGATATTGGTCCAACATTGGGCCAATGTGTATAAACATTTAATTGTTACAAATCTGTATATTAACAAATCTGATCGTCTCTACAATCAGAAATAAATCTACAACCAATCCTACCTGAAACTTCAAGCTAGCTAAAATGAATTTACAAGGCTTGTTAAAATTCTTATAAAAACAGAATAAATTATCAGTGATTAAATGTTTTGTTTCTATATACAAGAAAAATAAATGAAAGTTTAAAATAACAAATGTGTTTTGATACAGTTAAAACAATAAATAATTTGCCCCTTATTTAGATTGAAATTTGTGTCTAGTAGAATACATTTCGATTTCCGAAGTCTACCTCTTAATTTACTTATATACACTTAACGTCGAGCACATGATCAAACATTTTGAAAATGTTGAAATTGTTGAAGTTAAAACAAAATTTATTTAGTACTAAACATAAATTGGGTTCTTTCATTTAAAATTTGTTCAGTGTAACGACAAGTTTTCTACACATGTATTTTATATGGGGCAACATTGAATCAAAATCGTTGTGATGATGATGATGATCTAGCGTAGAAATGTTATGCATTAATGCCTTTATCACGCAAGCTAATCACTTAATCACACCATGAAACAAAAAAGACGGTTATTCCTTAATTGATAGCTTAAACATATAGTGATATACTTGTAAATTTTATCGTATGTTTACTCTTCACTAAGAAAAGTAACAAATGTATTAAGTACCAAATACTACAATTTTAGTGCTACTGGAGATTCTAAAAAGACATTCAGAACACAATCAAAGAATAGCTAAGGTATGCCAAGGACAGGGATGGGGGAGGAAGAAACGGAGAGAGAAGAAAAGAAGGGGGAGGATGAGACTTTGGAGAGAGAAGAGGAGACTTAGGAGAGAGATCAGATGGAAAGTGGCAGTGCCTAGCTTTTTTCTGTAATATAGTGTGACATACCTGTAGTTCTACCCTTTTATGTGTCTGTTTGTCGGTTACAAACACGATGCAGATGCCAGAAACATTTTTTTGTATAAGTAAACAAATTGACGGGATTCATTTTAGTATTGTTTTAAGAACGGGGGGGGGGGCTTTGTTTATTTGTTAGATGTGCTTATTGATACCTGCAATTTACTGAACTTCTCCATAAATTTACATCAGAGAGGGAGTATATAGTCATGTTACCCTACATGTATCGCTTGAAGTGAGCATCAACTTTAATTTCTTTATTAATGTTTTCTTCATGCACTGAGCAATAAAAAAACTAGTATGTTATAATTCAATTTTATATTTTGATTTCTTTTTCCTCAGTTTTTTAATTAATGCTATGAGATATATATTGAGATTATGTATTAAACTATTAATCTAGCATACTAGTATATAGCTAGTATTAAAGGGCTTTTACCATTAAACTGTACTACGAAACTAGTATAACCTTATTATTTGTATTTGTCAATTTTGAGGACAAATGGCCAACCAGTAAAGAGCAAATGAGTTGTCATGATGGAGAGCCAATAAGATACAAACCAACGTTGGCCAAAAAATAATGTTTGCCTAATATTGAAAGAATAAGTGGCCCAACAATGGCTCAATAATATCCTTTCTTTGGTCCAGCAATAAGCCAACAAGTTGGTCTGATTAAGGGTCGATGAGCAAATTACCGTTGGCCCAACATTAATTGCTTGCAATGGCCCAAATGTACAAAAA